TATATTAAAAGTATGAAGTTTTAATTGTTATTACTTTAAAGAGCTTGTATTTGATAATTTTTAGCATTCGACTATCTAGATATCGCCTAATTAATAAAATAAATATTTCAAACGTGATTTGAATTTCGTTAGAATTTTAAATATCCTTGCTATAATTGAATCTATATTAAACATTATGTAACGTTTATCATATATTTAGTAGAAGTACGAATTTGTAGAAATTTAAATTTTTTGTATGATTGTTCCCTGTTTTATCTTCGTCGGGATGGAAGAAAAATTATAGTGATTTCGCGCTTATTTTCGCTGTGCTTGCCGAATTTTACCGAATTTTCACGAAGTGCAACAATAGAATATGAGATGCTTGGTACGAATACAATCGAACGGAATTGAAAAGATTAGTGTTCCTGATTAGTTATTATTTAACACAGAAAGTAATTTTTATATTCATAAGGCATTCTGTCTTATAAAACCTACTTAAACAATTATTTCACTTTTCGATTTGTATGGTATGAATACGTACATATCTTTTAGAACATATACCATATACTCTATGGCATATACATATATTATTCTGTTTGTGTGTCAATATGTGGTCAATCTTAGAGAAATTGATGAATCGACTTTATAATATTGTGAAATAATTTTGTGTAAATTTTGATATTGTTCTTGAATATAGTTTCCTCATTTTAGAGGAAAAAGTAAAACTAAAACCTTTATTTTTCGGAGTCATACGTCCTCGTCTTAAAATACATGAACTGTTATTAATGATTTCTCATTAACTATGCGGACTAATATAATACTAATAACTATTCAAGATTTCGTACAAGGATTCTCCGTACACTAAATTAATTTTGTTCTTAATTTGAAAGTAACCTTGAATTTTGAGGTTTACTTAAGAAAAACGTCACTACATGGCGGCGAACTTTTTTCTCAGCGATATAAGAAAAGTAACAACACGATGTAAACAGTGTGTAGAGATAGACTAAAAAGTCGACTGGAAAAGTACTACAAACATATATATTTTCTGATTTGATTTCTTTAAAATAAATAATTTATATCATTTATTATTGAGCGGATCTTGCGTAAAAAACATCTTACTATGTGTATGACTTAAATTTATTCATTGAAGTAAGACGTGAGCCGCGTGCGCGACGCGTGCCAATTTTCCTCCTTATAGTCTAGCTTATTAACTAACATCAGCACGTGATGATAACGTGGTGATAACGCCTTTTTTCCTTGGCTACTTAGCGAAGCAATATTTCAGTAGAGAATTCTGGATGCTCTGTAGTAACCGGTCTATTTTAAATTATATTTTACTAAAGAAAGATTATAAATTAGGCAATATGAATCGTTGATTAACCAAATGACCGTTCCTATATTCTTTTATAAAAAATAAATAGAACACGAAATTGTTTGCTCATATTGCTAAAGTTGAAATTATTATTTAAACTAGTATCAAACTGAAGTGCCGATGCAACAGTAAATTGCACTCAAATGTATAAAGATATAAATATAGCACAAACATACAAAAACTGTTGGTACATTTAGCGTTAATTGATGTAATATCTAATTACAACGTCGTTACAAATGATCAAGCAAATTCGAGAATTTAATTTCACAATTAATTACGCGAGAATGCCAATAATTTAAATTTAAACCGCATTTAAGTTTAAATGTATGTGGTAAAGTTTCGTAGTCAATTAATTATTTACGTGAGAAAACACGTATAGGTACTGATTCCCGTACTCGGTAAATGGCGATTTTCCGAAAAGTTTGCTTCAATTTGTACCGTCACAGAACCGGGAGATAAAAAATTGACATTGAGTCAACAAAGTGAATGATTTAATTAACGAATATTTCTCTTTCCATTATTCAGGTGTACATTCATAATGACACAGTAATAATGCTTCTAGAGTTGTAGACTTTTACGTGTATGAATTCCCATTTATAAATCAAAATCATAATAATAATATAATAAATATTTCTTTTATTTGATTAGGCGAAGAATGGAAACTGCATGCACACAGAGAGAGACAGAGAGAGAGAGAGAGAGAGAGAGAGAGAGAGAGAGAGAGCAGAATACATACAGTTCAAAGTTTCCAATAATAATCTTGAACAACTAATTACGCGGAAAGAAAGAATCGGTCTCGTTTATCTCGAGGAAACGAAAAGTGCATGTATCTTCGACAAAGCTGACCTCAAATATTTACGATTATACGTCACAATAAAACAATTCATTTAGTATTCGTAATCTGCACAAAAGATACGAGCGATAATAGTGTATCGTAATTAGACAATAGATATATACCTATAGCTGTACACGCATTTATTTTCAAGATCAAAATGCTTCTTAATTTAATTTATTTATACATACCATGATTTTCATACATATCTACGGTCGTGGTTATGCAATTACGCATTTAATCGCTATTGAATTCGACTTTGATCGGTGAAAAAGTCCTCACAAAGCACATAGTAGATCGACATATCGTTTGGCGCGTTGTATTAGATAATAGAACAATATTATCGTTCTGGCTACCGGCTTCTTGTATATGTACGTGAATCTAAAAGAAAAGTAGTTTTCGAGTTTTCGATTTTGTCTCGGCTGATAGTCCCAAATATCCTTTGCTCGTACGATCACGAAAACGTGGCGAAAACGAAACAACGAATGATTGAAAATTGAACTGATCCATATATACAGAGAAATTATTTGTTCTTAAATTTTTAGTCATGACCATTTTGTGAATGATTCAATGGTTTTGCAGGATTCGATAAATTCGGATAACGTTATGAATCTGTATCTTGTCGCGTACTTACATGTTGACAGTGAGACGTTGGGCCACGCCGGTAACGCGTACAACTGGTAGGCGACACGCTGACAGCGTTACGTACTATCCAATTAGCGTGTTTCGCGACGTTAAAAGAGATAACGGTAGATAACCTTGATCGTCTGTCAGGACACGCGACGACGCGGTAAGTGTCATTTGAGAAAAAGAGGGAGTAATGAGACAAGAAGAAAACGAAGAAAGAGAGCGAAAAAGAGGACGGTATTATGTTTATGTTGTGATGGCGGGGGTTGAGGACGATTGGTAGTGGTACTGCCGGCGATGATAGATTGGTGGTGTGCACAAGGAACAACCGATGGGTGGCCAAAAGGTCGCGGCCCTGTCATTGATACGGTCGCGGAGAGAGTGCACTTTGGACCAATTCCTCGCGTCGGCTAATTCGAATAAACTCTGGGGAACGCGACGATATTACTTCAGTGCTACTTCGGCTACGCACCGTGGCATACTGCTCACACTGATCGATCTCGGCCATTCTTTTCTTTCCATCCATCAAGGAAGAATTCTATCTTCCTCTCTTTCATTTTAACTTTTACTCCTTAACTATTCTTTTTAATCGAATCGATCACAGTGTTTTCTATCGCTTCTTCTATCATTTTCTCTCTCTCTCTCTCTCTCTCTCTCTTCTAAGTTTTTTGCGCTTGAACGATCATCGGCGCCGAGACGAAGAGAGCGAACCGAATCGTAGATCTCATCACGGTCGGATAATCAGGGTTCACGTTCGAAACTAGAGAACGCTCGATTTGCATCGTTTCGAACCAAGGCGAAAAGAGAAGAGAAGGCGAGAGCGTACGAGATCAAACGAGACCGAACGAGACCGAACGAGAGTAACGAGACGAAACGAGACTGTCTTGCATTCGCAAGGAAAGATACGAGAAACGTACGGCGAGAGGTGTCATCTCGCGCGGCACACGACGACGAGCAGAGACTACTTAAAGTCGAAGAATCGAGTGACTAAGTCGGCGCGCGTTTCGACTTCGCTTTCGCATGTACACGTGATCGCACGTGACACGTGATCGCACTCTCGGTACATTAAAGCATAAACGTTGTCGAGAGCCGGTGGCCGCGCGTATAGAAACACGAACCGAAGAGAAAGAGAAGAGAGGCTCTTGTGTGCGGAGTTGCGCGGCGCTCGTTATCCGTTCGCGGTGTCTTTTAATTTGTCTCTACGGGACGGGCACAGTTAATCACAGCTGATCAAAGAAACGTCAAAATGCCCACAGAACCGGGTAGCTTCACCTCCACCGGGAGCATGATCGTCGTGAGCAACAGGTTGCCATTCGTGCTCAAGAGAAACGAGACAACTGGGAAGCTGGAACGCAAGGCCAGGTTAGTATACCGAGGTAGCTGCCTCTTCTTTTCTCTCAATTCGTTGCGTCTTTCTTGTTTTGCTTTCCACTTCTCGCTTTTGTGCTTTGTGCTTCATATTTACCTTCTGATTCTCTTTTTTCATCCTCATTTACTGTTGTGTCCACAAGAACGCGCTTCACGAGTGCACGACGATTGCACGCGTGGGTGCACGACTCTCGCGGTCATTGTAACCGCGACCCGAACGCGGACGGAGCGTGATATTACCTCATCATTTATTATGCTCATCTACCAATATCCCGTTTTAATATCTATTTTTTCCTTTTATTGTTTTCGCTTTTATTCTCCTTGTCTTTTCGCATGGATACTATACATACATATATATTCGGTAGAATCAGAAAATGCCACATGTGTGAAAAGTATTTAAAGGTAATATCCAAACGCAACGTAAGCACAATGAACAGTATTAGCCTTAGCTACTAAGCTCTTTCATTGTGATGTTTCAAACCGTACAATTGTGTGGAATATTTTCAGATGTATTGCTTTCTGATTTTAATCTGCATAATTACTTAGGAAATGACACAATAAAGGACGCGTATCTCCAGCCGTGTATTAAATCGTTGGTTAACGGATGAATTCCATACGTTTATGTTAATGTAATCAAATTATTTTTATGAATGCAGGCATTGTAGTTTTCAGATGTTTCATTCGGTAGAACGCCATTTCGTCCGAATACGTATCGTAACTGAAGCCTAAAAGGTTTGCAGGATTAATGAAGTTTGTGGTATTTTTACAAATAAACATTCTATCGTGCGTTCGTTTATTTTGCTGCGTAACGAATCGGAACTGATATGTAGAAGTATCGATTGGAACGTGAACGTTAAGGCAAATGAAGGGAATGAATTGTGTCTCGTTTCGTATTATCCTTTAATTATCTAATTTAATCTTTCTCATCATTCCCTTTTATTATTAATATATTAATAATTGTTATCGACTATACTGGATAATAAATATTTTGAAGGCGATAGGTACTAACGTTTTCATATCGAATTGCTTCGGTGTATTGATTATTCCATTTGTATCGTTTCGCGACTATATGTATAACCAGTTACCTAATCCTTTATTACCATATTGCTGATTGAAGTTTCTGTTCAAGTCGTTGTTATGCCAATGCTACTGTTAACGCGGTAATTGAACGCAATCGATAGATGTAGTTGTTCAATAAATATTGTGAACGATGATTTTTGCTCAAACGGTAAACATTCGTTTAAAGCTCGTGCGCATTTTCTAAAAGATTTGCAGCGAGATGTAGCCTTCAAGCGTGAATCGACTTGATGTATTTTATTCTTTTTTATTACGCATGGACGTTGTTTGAATAAAAAGTATCGTTGAGTGTCACTTAGTTGCATTGACGTTGCGCTTGGTATGTTTATTTATGGTCCGCGAAAAAATAGTATGCGATTACACATCGCGCGTGGTGTTCTACGTCGAAAGTACATCGCAGTATGAACTCCGGGCTTCTATGTAGGGTGAGGGGACTGACGAAATTTTACGTAAGAACATAGTCCATGTTATACAAGCGATCCATTTTACCCTCTGGATCATCCACGCTCTCGTCGAGCCACTTTATGCACAACTGTTCTGTGCTCCGTTTGCTCCAGTTTTCTTAATTAGCAACATTCATATTACCAAAAACTAATTTTTCAGAACAGCGCAAGAAGTAACGAGACTATGCACTTTGAATATTTAAAGTGACGAAAAAGGATACATCGTCTTTAAATGATACTCGATCAGATAGTTAAGCTATCGTAAATTCCTTCTTGAGAATGAATGCAAAATGTCATAAAGGTATTATTGCCTGATTTTTTAAAAAATAGCGAAAAACATTGACCACTTTAATCTTCGATAAACGATTGTTTCTATATAAGTGAGCCTCGAATTGTCGTTTTATGTGTTTATCAATAGAGTAACTGTTAAACTCCAGGTTTGATATCGAATGCAACGATTTTTAAGTTGAAAGTCCAGGACTTTATTTAGCTGGTATAGCTCAGCACTCCAGCACGTACTCCGAAAATCTGCTCGCTTGAACAATTTTGGTTTTCTTCAATACTAGTAGGTATGAATAATTGAGATCCCATGCCCAAACCAGGGTAAGAACAGGAATACTAGGGATAGTGGGTATGGCCGGAGGTGAATAAAAACTTTCTTGCCAAGAAAGATTTGGGGTGTTTGTCGAATTGAGTATATCAATACGATAAGTTAACTTGTCATTCAACATAACTGTTTCATGATAACGCGATAGCTTTCATGATTTACGATTCTAAATGTTGTAAATCATAGTTTTTTAGTTTGTTAACAAACTATGCGCCTGTTTGTTGGTTGAGAACTGACTAGAACCGATTCGTTTCGTGACTCGGCTGTTCACTGGGCGTCATTCAATGTGTATTTGGTTACGTTAACTAACGATTATGCTACCTTGTCAGGTAATTTGTGTAAATCACTGTATTCTTCATTAGAACAATTTGGCAATAAGTATTTATATGTATAGAGTTAATCCGAATTGTATTCGTACATATTTAAAAACAGAGTAGTACCTCTTTTAATTAAAAATGATCAAACAACATAATTTTCTTTGAGACGGCTTATTATTAGTTTTACTGGATAAACTATTGGTCGGAATTGTTTTAAGACGCTTACGAATATAACTGGAAGTAACTGTACATATTACGTAATGGCGAATCGTCATTAGTTGAAGTTATTAAATTGAATTGCGACAAAGATAAGAAGTGGTCCGTATTCCGTTCCTATCGTCTCTCTCCCTTATTTTCCTTCTGGGAGAAATAAGTTCTTTTTTAGGCGATGTTTAATCTTATCGCGTGCATAAAATATAAACTGTTGCAAAAATAGGAATACTGGAGATTCCGCGCGGCGTCTCTTCCTTTCTCCCCACTCGCCCCTTTTCTTCTATATTCTATATCGATCAGTCGTATATGTTTTATATACAAACGCGAGTCGATTGCCAAGAAACAAGATTAACGTTTGTGAGCTCTTGTAAATAGACATTAAAGATAATCGGCTATCGAAAGTACCCAAGAAACTGGAGTATACATTCCTTTTTTCGTACAGTTCATGCGTAAATAAATTGAAGTAAACAGGACGAAGTCGAAATGAAGGCAGCGTGATAAAAACAAGTTTACAAACGATAACACAATTGTTTGAGAGAAACATACAAATTTAGTGGAACGTTTTCGAACCGAGCATATTTATTCGCTGAATAGCGGAAATTATGCTCGTTACTCGTTATTCTTCTCTTACATGTGTCCACTTTTTGTCTCGCAGTTACATAATCGCTCTGATAACGATGTTATCGTTCAGGTATATCTGATTCTTTGTCGGTGCATCTGACATTTGTTAATTCCATTTACTCCTCGATGAGATTGTACTATGTATAGGTAAAACTAGTACTCTAGTACTGAAGTATTGTCAGATAACTGTCGCTGCGAATGCGTGCACTCATTCACAAGGTATTCCGTCTTTCATCGCGAAAGCCACGTGCTTCCCGCGTGTCTCTTCTACGCGGGTTACGTATGCGGTGTAATATATTATCGCGATTGTCGCAGTTGTTATATACTTCCATTAGCTCGCATGAACGAGGTACACACAGTGAAACACGATGGAAAAACACAACCTCCGTCACCGCTATCATTGCCGTTTGAAATCTGAGACGCAGCGCAGGCATTTTCCAAACATTCTGCGTTTTGTTCGCTACCGTTTTGGCTTTCGCAGAAATTAAAGCAATTTTCATTTATTACCTAATCGATTCGATTAAATCGTTTGAAATTAGAAGCAAATATGTAGTTCATATGTGTAGATATCTCATCGTCAGTTTTAGCTATTTACAATTTATATTGTTCAATGAAAGATGCGCGTCGTTCATTTTGTCTCATCTTATTGTCGTCAGACTGAGGATTTTATGCATTTATACAAAAATTGGGTACGTTAAAAATATAAAGAATTAATGTGATATGCAAAAATGTACACAACATCGAAAATACATCATTATCTTTAAACAGTCAAATAAATCACAAACTAGACTTTATTTTTTAAACTTGTGAGAGTATCACTGTTTTATTTTGCATAAAAATCTGCAGTTTAATTACCGTGTATTAAATTCACAGGAGAGTCTCATTACTTGATTGGTTTGTTAAACGTTTTTCTTCATCAACATGAACTCATTCGATTGCAGCTTCAATATTGTCGTTCCAATTGGATTCGTTAATTAGACGTGTTTAAAAATAACGAGTACCTGGATACGTGTCAAACGAACACTCTTCTTTCTCGTTTCACATCTGCAGATATCAAAATGTTTAAATGAAGTTTTTTTTTTTTCTAAAAATGTATTCACCATAGCGAAAGAAGATCGCGAGTGTAAAAAATAACGAAATTCGAACGGATTTTGTACAAGTTGAGACGGATAATATACGTATGTAGTATGTAGATATACGTACGCGTTGAAATTGTGGCATCCTCGAAATAGATTACGTCCGAGTCATCCGGTGTTAATAATAGAGCGCATCAATCCCTTCTGTATCGTTAGATATAATACATACATATATCTATATGTAATAGTTATTGTGGGTGGCCATATGCTGCCCATTTATCCTTAAGTTTCACCAATTAATAATACAAGGGATTACGTTATCGAGTATGTCGTACCGCTGCAAACGGTCTGGGATTTACTCTATCTCTATTCCATCTCTATTCAACCTTCATCCGGAGAAGAACGGAAACAGTTGTATAAAAGTGTCTTGCAGGTTTTATTGAATACAAATAGCTATGGAAAAATGTTTACTATCTAGTTTTCACATTAACTAATCACATTAAATACATTACACGCAATAAATCCGACGCGTTCGTCATTCTATTAATTTTATTCATTCATCGAAGAATTGAATGTACAGACATAAAAAAATTTATGTTATGTTAAGAAAATAATATCATCTACATGCACATTAGAAATGCACTTAAATAATGATAAGGGAAATTATTAATGATAAATTAAATGATAAAAGAAATTCCCATCTAAATCATATTTTTTCAATTGCTAACACAAATATTTCATTTTGCGTAAGAATCTACAGACTTGTCATTAACGATACCGTACTAGTGCAATCGAACAAAGTTATTTGATCTGACATAGGTAGTTTCCGGCGGTTCAATCAGCGAAGTTGTTTTGTTAGAACGCGCTCAGTGGGAGCCAAGTTCCATTTCTAATTTCAAATTATGGCTTGCCAAATACGTATGTATTCGACTAACGTTCGAGTCCATTCGCGAGATCTGTCTTTACGTTGGTTTTGTTAAGGGTAGAAATCGTGGCCATATGATTAATGTTCGTTACGCACACGCAACCCTTTCATTACTTGACGTACTATAGGCAATTAACAATTTTGTCTGATATTAATACAATGTTATGTATTAATAATAATTGTGCAAGCATTCGGTAAAAAATATTTCAGGAAATTATCCGCTTAGGCTTTAGTCTTCTTGGCAGCTGCAACTTATCGTTAGAAGACGTAGTATCATGCAAATCATTTCAAAACACATCACAACATTAACATCTTCCTGCTTTTAAAAATGAGAAAAGTAATAATGCGTCTACAATACAGTAGAAGTACCGTACAATATGCAACGCCAGCCACCCAGTAGACTTTTATATCGTTTACGCACGGAGCAATTTTTTAATATACAGCGTCGTCATCTTCATTATTACTATTTACTATAATGATAAAATTGCTTTTCTTGATTCCGGTTATAAAAATATAATCTTCTTTATAAGCAGTTTCTAATCACATTTATTTGTGTCGTTTTATCTCAATAACGGTGGTCCGGTTGTTTTTCGTTTCAGTGCTGGGGGTCTTGTGACTGCTGTAGCACCAGTGGTTATAAGCGGAAATGGAGTCTGGGTTGGGTGGCCGGGGATGCACATGGACAACCGGAACGAACCGATTCCCGAGTCCGATCCGAACGATCGTACTCCGACAGCTGGCCTCTTATCCAGCAAGGTATGTATTCATTTACATAAATACGGAGATAATAACAAATGTCATATGCAATAATTTTTTGTTGTTTGATTTGATAAAAACGTGCTGTGTATACATTTATTATGGGATGGAATGAAAAGGTCTTCATATTTGAAGAAATTAAAATGTTTCTGTTCGTAAATGGCATTCAATAAAATCAATGACTAATGGATAATTTTAAATCACATTTCCTATTGATTCACTCTGTATTATCATATACATTTCGTATATGCGTATTCAACATTAATATTAACAGAAATTATGAGCAAGTAATTCGCCATGCGAATTCACTGTCACATGGTCTCCGATGCAAAACGAGGTTAAACTTTTTGAATATGCATCTTGATTCAATGGATTGAATTTTCCGTACCGGATTCGTTATGAAGTTTTCGTAATTTCCGTTTCGTCCGCTCCGCGGAAACTCGAGCGCGAGGCAGTACCGATAAATTATTATATTTGGTAAGTACACGTGCGATGGCTTATACTTGGAGCGAAAATAAAATCCGATTCCTTTAACCGAGGTAGGGCGCGTGCTTGCTTGAATCTTTTGGCGTGCTTCGTTCATGTCAATCGATAATTATAGGGATTATCTCGCGTGTCAGTAGCGTGCAATCGTAAAACGCAACGTAGTGTAATGTGACCGATAGCACACGTGCACGTGTGGTTTATTAATTATTTTTTTTTTTATAGAGGATTCATATCCATGTCTAATCGAATCGCATCTTTACTTTGATTTCATTCCTTGAACTCTGTATCTCATATCGTAATGACACAATCATCTTATTCTCTTCTAGTAAAGAAGGTTATTTATTTCTCAATAAGTCGAATGAATTTAACAAGATTCATTCACCAAGCGTTCCCGGTGGAAAAGTATACCATTTAATCAGAGAGCGAGCGGTTTGAACATTGAAATTCACGGAAGATTCGTCAGGACGGTTTAAGACTTGGTAGAGACCTCGTTTATTTTCGTATATGCGTACTGCATACGCAGCTACGGAATGCGTTAAATATAATTGTCCCGTTACGTCCACGTTTCAGATTTCTCGACGACTAATATTCGAAAGATTTTTTATAATAATGGTTCATCAACCGATAACCTTGCGTACATGATGAATTTCTCTATTTGGAATCCATTATCCATCCAATTATCAAAATAATCTCGGGACGACCTATTTCTTCACTATAGTATGTATACTATACGGTGATCATATTTTTTTTTTTTTTAACAAAGTAAAGGGAAATCAGAAACGAGGAAAAGCAGATTCGGAAATAGTAATATGCCTACACTGTGCTGCTATCAGTTCGCAAGGGAGATGAGTCAGGATTTATTCACGTTTTTTTTGAACGTATTAGCACTTGTAGTTCAATTTGTACACTTTCATATGGTTGTGATTTTCAAGCATGCGTAATAAGTCGTGATTCAGATATTACCATACGATTGTATCATATGAACTATGATGATCTTCGTCGTGTAATATCCACGCAGTGGTAGAGCACGAAATCCCTCACGAGCGATTTCTCCTCTTTTCTGGCTCTCCACTACTATTCCCCTTTTGCGCGTTCGTCATGCTTTCTCTCACTCCCACCATATGGTAGGTTATCCCTACTACCGTCGTGAGGGATTTCGTGCCCCATCTCATTGCATTCACGCAACATGACGAAGGGAATTACACATTCTGATATCATAATATTTGCTGACCTTAACATTGACCATTTATTCGTATCTCCTTGTCATATGAATCATTGTTTGCACATTGTATGAACACGTAGTATTCCATCAGGATCAAGTTACCGAAAAATTTTTCCATCGATTTATCGTATTTATCTGCGGGTATTATCCTCAAGTATCGCTGACATTTAAATCATGAGTACGGTGCCCATGTTTTTGTGAACAGAATAAATGATAAAGGAAAGGAAGTCTTTGATATGTAATAAAAAAAATGTTGTCTTCATTCATTTCATTAAAATTGAAACACTTTACATTAATTGCAATGTTTTAGCAATTCCAAGTGCTGTAGTTTCAAGTGTTGATTTTGTATAAGGAAGCAAGTAGCATTTACGTACTTGTTTCACTAAAACTGAAAAGCGGTATATTATAAAATATAATACCTAACATCTTAGACAATAATGTTATTATCGAAAAAGGAATTGGAACTGTTTAGATACAGTTCACTTTTCCGCAATGATTGGTATTTTTCCCTCGTTACGTATCTTTCACGATTCTATTCATCGCTTTCAACAGACTTCTTCACGAGTAAAAAACTATTATCAAAAGCGTTAATGATGATTGATTAAGTATACATATCATAATCGCCATTGACGTTGTAGTAGTAGTAGTAGTAGTAGTAGTAGTAGTAGTAGTAGTAGTAGTAGTAGTAGTAGTATATTTATTTATTTTAGCCTTATCGGCCTGAGAATAGGACGTGGTTTACATTTTTCTATTCTTATACTTATTCATTCCTTCCTCTATTTGTGCTCTTATACATTTACAACACTCTCTTCTCCATAGTCCTTACCATTCTCTTTACTTAATTCTAGTAAACCATAGCTAAGTACAGTAGAATTCTGTTTATAAGAGAGTCGAACAACAACATTCTTCTCTTGAAGTTATCTTTAAATGTTCTCTCCCCTGTAACCCATACCTGTCCCAGTGTCACATTTGTCTTCTTAACTCTTTCTCTGACGTGCATTGACATACATACGTACTTTTGTCTGCGACTATGCTTACTGATAATGAAGTAATAATTTTTGTTTCTCTGTTCTTGTTTTTATATTCTTTCGAAAGTTAATATTATCGTCGTGCATGTAAAGTCAACCGAATTGTAAAACCGCTCCAAATTCTTTTCTTGCGTTGTGTACTTATTTTTAGTCACACTTAAGTCATACCCGATCTTCATTACAATTAGAATCACTTCACACGTGTCATACACGTAATATTCGTACATTGTCAACGCCACATTTACCTTTTCAATATCGATTCGCTTTTCATGGGAAATAAGAGCACTTACTACTAGACTGGTATTTGTATGCAAAACAAAGCACTTTTGACATCAATTTAAAAAATATGATTTAAATAATAATCTTTTTTTCATTATTTAAGTCATGTGATATGCATGTAGATTTTGATATTCATTCATAGATTTTTATACGTTACATGCATAAAATCTGCAATCTATTTATTATTATTGTTTAGATGTTTATACGGGGGTCAATTGAATTCTGCTTCAAATATTATGAAAGTTTTCAAGCGTTCCGATTATTTAAATTTGTTCCTTCGAAGAATTTATAGAAGTACATTTGATGAAGATTAATAACGGGTCGGATATTGAATAACATGGTTATAACTGCGTCAGCTATGACGATCTTTCGCCATGTAGTTTCACCTCTGAACTCCGGCACGTTACAGATCATTTTACACGTCTCAATCCGATTTGTTTAGTAGACGTAATAGGCGTGGATCAAATCGATCAGTATTGAGCTAATTAAATCGTAAACGAATTTTATATGTTGCGGAACTTTAAAAGAGAACGTTTTTAACCTTTAGAGGACGACAATTTTTCCCATCAAATCGACCTCCTATTTCACAGAAAGTTCATAAAAAAAATGGTTCAACGTGCTGGATGGTGAGTCTACGCGCAAAAATCAGTCGGGACGAAAGAATAACATTTTTCCATTTGTTGCTTGGTTTTTGCGAAAAATAAGTTTGAAAGGTCGTCAGTTATCTTTGTATTAATTGTATTATTAATTTGTTCGTTTTTAGTTCCTCAACTGCTGTTATATGTGCTGGAGTATGTTACATATTCTTCTTTTTTTATTTATTTCTGCATGTAGAATTATTACCCCCATTGGTTTTACTGTTATTCTTGAGGTTGTCCTGTACACAGTATAACACGTATATGTATGTATAGAGGTTGTATGAAATCCAAGTTATCATAATTATAATTCAGAGATGTTTGGTAAGTTTCAGTAAAGGCAATTGTCTGTTAGATTCATTCCCCTCAAAACGTTAATCGTGCACATAGTTGACATCGAAGTGCACCTTGAACATTGTACCTCATTATTTTCCCGAGAAAATGCGATGTTCCGCGATAGCACAGGCACGCCGTCATAGTTCTAAGGAAAATAATATGTCTAATAATAAGAAAAGCAAGCGCGGAGAAATCATATGAAATATGAATGATGTTTGACTTACAAACGATAGCGATATGTTACGGGTGTTTCCCTGAAGCATAGATAAAGTATCTTGTTTTTGTCCCAAATAACGTTTGGAAAGGAGCGATGTACGCTTTATCGCAGGGTTCTTTGAGAATTGTTGAAGAAATACAGCATTGTAATCTTAATTAGAATATAAAGAACGCATGGAACTCTAAATATCAAACGTAACAAAGAAATGAACGTTGTATCCACTTTACGCGACAACGTGATTACTGGAAAGTCACATCTAATTTCCATCCAGTTAAAACCAGTAAATTGGTCGTCTTAATTCCTGTCTTCTACATATAATTTCGTATCAGTTTTCTCGAGCTACGTTTCCTCGAAATGTTATTCTCCAAACATGCTTCGACCTTGAATATTTTTTTAATCGGACGCTGAACCGATACGGCGGTGACCTTATTTGGAAATATCACGGAGAAGAGAATCTGTACAGTGGCTCCTTAAATGGCCGTTCGTGTCGATCAGCTTGTATACGGATGGATCTGAAGCAAGGATCTCGCGTAGCCGCGATAAATGTATCAAGAGGTCGAAACGGCGCAGCCTGTCGGGTTATCGGTAACGTCACACTCGCAAATCCCGTCGGTTTTTATCTTCGACGTCCACGCAAGATATCGCCGGACCTCGATAATGCTCTCTTGATTCACACGTTCTCGCGTCATATTTCGCGGCATGTACGTCTACGCGTCATACTAGAATCACGTGATAAAATATATGCTTACGTGATTTCGAGAAGTTTCGCTCGCCGATAAGATTGACTCGATGTCGGC